GACTATCATGTGGAATTGGACTACCATGGGATTTTATAACCATGTGGATAGCAGTCAGGATTTCTAGTATAAGTGAATATGACACACAGTGCCCAAATCTGTTCACCAACTTCATGATGTCTGCTCTTCCTGTCAAATGCCATAATGACATTCCAAGGAGTATATGCTTAGATGTCATCCATCTAAAATGTTGGAAAATTAATTCTGGCCTCAACTTCCAAGCATATTTTTTATTTCAAAATTTCTTTTGTTTACACAATGACCCTGACCTTGAATGACCAAGGTCATGGTCATCAACTGGGCTTTATCAAAATTATATACATAGACATTTATTTTGAGTTTGTATGTTGTTTACTTACAGAGATATGTCATTTTCTTCATTTCCCTTATTTTATAAATACGTTGCCATGGCAACAGCCGTGGCTCTCACACCCACCACCAATTTTATGGTAAACAACCTAATTAAGATAGCTGAGGGTCCTGGCTAACGAAAAATTATGGTCAATGAAAATCCCTAAGGGAGGGGAGGGGGGTCTACAGTAGCCCATAGACTATAACAGTTGACTTCCTTGCAGTCTGCTGTGATTCTGATAAAAATTCTTGAAAAATAAATGTCAATTGCATAAAACGAGGGGTGAACGTGAAATAGCTGTGACAGCAAAATAAGTAATTTTGCGTTTTGCTGTGAAATCCATGGACTATTGATCTTGTATGAATGTTGATTTGATATATGTCAAAACTGGAAATAATTTTACGCAGTTTAACCACCGACATTTCAGTTCATTTTGAGTTCACGCGTATTGGGCATGTTTGTCAGTGGGGAAATCCTAATTCAAAAGATTCCTCACTGTCAATTTTTATTACCGGTATTTCTGGTTTATTTGTCACATTATAAGCAATAAAATTATAAATTTTGTTTTCCTTCTAACGTTGCATATTGTTCATTTATTTCTGTTTTCACTTGCCATTCAGATCCCTTTCGCAGTTCAATCTGCATGTCAATTTTCGCGAAATTTCGTGTTTTTTTTTCAGGGGATGTCCGGGCATACATGTAGGCCTACCCTACTTTTTGGCAATTTTCCATGTTCAGGACCCTGGAATTCATGCGAGTATGTAAAATTACAATACATTCTGTAGAACTGTTTTTCTTTGAAAATCTGTGAATTTGAAATAAAGTTAATATAATCAAATAATATCAAAAAGCGAAAATGCTTTTACACAGTATTTTCTTTATTAAGATATTTGTTTCACTGCAATACTGTAGAATACTTTATTTTCGCTATTTTCGCTGAAGGGATGATTCAGTGAAAATAAACCAGTGAAAATAAATTCCAAGCAAAATGCCCAAAAAGCCTTTTCAGCGAAAATTAATTCCAGCAAAAATAAAGTATTCCACAATAAATTCTAAATTAGTTCTTATGCTAACTATGTCATCCTTGGATATATCCAATTGAAATTCAAATGGATTATTTTGATTATTTAAATCCAAATGTCAGGAATATGTACAGTAAAGGTAGACAAATATTTCCCTGCATGCAAAATGCAAACAAAAATAATAATTTTTGAATATTCATTATTCTAAGTGTATTTAAATTATCAGTATTTGAATCAAAATTTAAAATTTAAATCACATATATCCCTGTATTTTTAAAAGCCTACATAGTTAGCTCATCATGATGGATTTAAATCATCCATATTGAATGGACTAAAAGTACATGTATATGTAGTGTTCAAATATTAATTTCTGGGTAATGTGTCACATAAATATTCATTAGTCCATGTGAATTTAAATCTTCAATATTGATGATTTAAATCCAAATTTTATATATCTACATATTTCTAAAAACATTTCACTGTTAGCTAGACATTAATTAAAATCATTAATATTGACGTTTTAAATCCAAATAGAACAGTCTTCAGTAAAATGAGAATACCGGTATACCCAACAAATTATCAATATTGACCAACATATCCCATGTATGTTTATATAATATATCTACAATTTAAAGTGGATTTAAATCATATACTCAGTATATTTGATTGGCACTTTCCACACCATACAACTATAATAGGTGATTTTCCATACAATTGTGAGAACTTGCGAGATGCATGAAAGACGCACGTCGAACGTCTGTCGCAAAAATCGAACGATTTGATTTTGAACTCGATTTTCTTAATTTCGTAGCTCACATCGACCGGCTGATCTTCGACAGAGGAATATTGCTTTTGAATACCCGCACTTAAGCGAAATTGTCTATCATCAAATGTGTACAGCACATTATTAAGCATGGAAATGTCCCCCGAAATCCCACGCTATGTTTGACGGAAAAATGGTCTATTATGGGAACACTACAGTGACAGACTACATGTATATTGTAAATTCCTCCCTACACAAAAATATTATCACAATCCCTTGGTGGCTTGCATGTGCTTCTAATAAGGAAATGTGGCACTCTTACAATGGCATCCATTCTATGATGTGTCAGATAGGCATTTTACTTGTAGTGTGGATTCCTACTATTACTCCATGTGATTAATATTTATTACATTAATATTATACATGTATTAAATTATATTACAATCGAAAACATCCCGTGAACCTCTGTTGTATAATACTGGTATCAAACGTGTCGGTTCACGGACTTACATGAAAAGGAATTGAGGTCGAAATGACCGGGCCGAAACAAAGAAAATGCCAGTGTATTATCTAGGTCAACGATTCGGAAGTTGAATCACGCTATTGAGTAAATAAATAAACACGTTATAGCATGTGCGTGCATATAGGGTTGTCACTACGTACCAATAATCCAAAGTAATCAGAAGATTACTAATTCGTAATTTAACTATAAATTAATGTATGCAAAATACATTGAATAATGTGAAGTTCAATTTCATCCGGAAATGTAAAACATCAATTTCACAATCATAATTTAAGCAATTTCCAACAAGTCATACGCGTGTCCGAATTTTCGGAGGACAATAAATCGATACTGTTCGATGACTTCCGTTCCTAAACAAGGCACAACTTGATAAACTAACCTGGAATCGACCAATCAACCAAGGAACAATCCTGAATAAATCTTCAGATACTACATAACACCGGAATTGTGCAGGCACCCTATCTCTGTGGAAAATAAATTGTTTTGAAGCATTCTGGTTTCGCCTAATAACCTCGTAGCCGACATCGAACGTTTTAGCCCGACAATAGCCGAATTTCTCAGCTCAGATTATGTTGTAAATTGACAGATTAAATTACAGCGATACATCGCGTACCGCTGACTGAGAGATCACGACATTTGGAAATTTATCTGCCATGACCTCTGACCTCAAATTATACTTCGCCGGGTCGAGTGCTGAAAAAAAGGGAAGTGGGTGTACGTGGAGTTAATTAGCCATTCCATGGTAATTTTTTTTTTTAATTATGGTTATTAGCTTCCCATTTCGCCTATATCTGTAAATCCAGATGCAACATGTTTGTGTTCTGTCATGTTTAATCTGTCCGGTCTTGACTATTGTCGTCATTGTCTTGTTTTTGTGTACCATCTCTATTCATGCACGTTTCGTGTTGAGACTTGTCCACAGACACGCTGTGGTACCCGTGCATGTATTGAGTTGCCCTCTGACGCAATCTCGTATTCCATGCCAAGTCATCGTCCGACAAGGTACGGACAACCCGTGCTCCACGATCCTGTTATACACCTACCACGGAAACGTGCGTGTTTTTTTTTTTTTTCACGCATTCTAATTTTATTTCAAATCTGTGTTGATATAGCTGTTTTGATGCGAGGTAAGTGTGTAATTAGATATTATATTACAGATTTCTAGTCGACACGGGACGCGTACATAACTGGGTTCGCTTGACTGGTGGCCAAGTGGGTGGCCAGGTGTTTGGGGCTTTAAAATCGACAGACCATTCTTAAAGTACAATTTGGTATTTATGTAAAATGATGAATATGTGATATACACCAGTACGGAACATCTAAAAAAATAAAAAGAGTTATCGAGAATATTTTTATTCAAATTGTTTTTTTTTAAAAATCGGTAGTGTTTTTTCTTTTCTTTATCTAAGGAATTGAAGAAATTTATAGTAGAATATTTTGTTTAAATGACGCAAGTTTTTGTACTGCAGTTTGTTTATTAATTTCCAGTATCTAACCACATCATCACCTGCAGTAGTGATGAACTTATGAATTACAGTTATAACTGTAATTATAATCTGGGTGACGTGTGAATACTGTGAACAGTGATTTGTTTATTCGGATGATGGGGTCGAAGATTGGTTTTCTCTCACTAGGATTTTGGCTTTTCATGATTGCACTGAAATATTGACAACTGGAAATCTGTTTCTCTGATTTTTGATTTCAAAGTTAAAGTGGTGTCATGGTACATCATGTACAAATATGTCATTTTTGCAAGAAATAATTAAATGTTTGAAAACTAATATTTAGGCTTTCATGATATGATTTAATAATACTGATATTAATATTACCTGTCTCTTGGATACCCTATCTACGTACATGTACTTGCATGAACTTTTATTTTATTGTGTATTTATCTGATCATGTTTATTTAATGTTTATCATCTAGTCCTAATACTACCAATTACAACATTCTGTAAAAATATTTTCCTCAATTTTTTCCAAATACATTTGGTAATTTCAAGCTCTTCAGTTTGACCCGTGATATTTTATGTAAACCAGTTAATTTTTGCTACTAGAAAATATCATGAAAGTGGGTGTTAGTCCAAGTCCTTAAGACCACAGTGAAATTTTCTCTACCGGTACTACTAAATTTTTCGATTTTAATTTGTTTCCCACCCTGTCATGAGGTTTGAATTGAATCATTGATTTTACTTAAGTATTACAAGCTGTATTCGCCAAGTTATAACATTTTACTATGGTCTGTATTTTGAAAAAAAAATCAAAATGGCAGCCAGTGACTTTTTTTTGGCGAGTAAGGTGATTTCTACCTGTCTTCGTAAACTTCTGAAACATTTTGATTATTTTTGAATTTTAAATTCTGTTTCTGTTCATTTACAACCTACATTGATGGAATTGAAATTTAGAATAATCAAACAAGAGTGCTGTCAACATATCAAACCCATTTCCTTCATTTTTATATATATTTATAAATTTCAAAATTCAAACTAAAACATCAGCCGATAAAATAACATTAAAGCACTTTGAATATGGCGTCATTGTTCACTGTGTTCATTAATTGGGTGGTTGGATTTAACCGCTGTTGAAATTTATAATTATTTATAAAAATCAAGGGAATGGGTTTGTTGTGTCAACAGTAAAGTAGGTTACCAAATTAGAACCTGCCTCAATTGCACTTACTGTTAAAAGTTTATTTATTGCTGGATTTTATTTATGTTGATTGTTAAACGAGCATACAATAATTACCTAAAGTAACACATAATGATTTAGTGGAATGTATTCTTTTGAATGTACTTTAACCTCATGAACCCAATAAAATGAAACCCAGGGAATATTTCTCTTTCTACTGTGCGTTCATGCATACTAATTAATAGGGCTGAATATTTATTGTAAATGAAGTCATTCATTTATTATTATGTATTAGTTATTAAAATATTTGATATTATTATACATCTGTCATTGTAATGCCATAATGGCTGCGATCAGGGTTTGACCAGACTTAACTTTCTGCATTTCGGCGTTCCCCAGATGTATCATTGGAAGGAAAAGATGTATAATAA